CTAATGACCAAGCTGATTGGCTCTAGTGCAAGTGGGAGATTGTTGGAAATGTGCCATATAACCAATCATATGATGATACTTTACGAACATTTCACATGTTAAACTAATCTAGTTTAATATAAAGGGCAAATCTTTTTGTTTGAAGCCGTCTCATATAAATGTTATATGCTTAAACGATAAGTCTAAGGACTATGTAATTGGGAGAATGTGATCTAAAGAAGTTAGATTCATGAGACCATTCTCTTTCGTATACATATCATAAACGTTCCTGATCATATGATTGCCAATTGGGCATTGACAGTCCGTTAAGATCAGTACGTGTTATGTCTTCTCTTAGGGAAAGTGACTGGTCTCGAGTCATTGGTGTGACTGACACCAAGACAAGTTTGTAGGTGCTCAATAGAGAATGAGTCCACTGAACACGATCAACAAGGAGTTCTCATACTCATGTCACATGAGAACTCATGGTTGGGATAATGCAAAGAAGTCCTTTGACCTGAGGCATCATAGTTGTCTTGTGGTTAGGTCTTTGATCTTTGACTATGTCAAAGTCACTTAATCAGAGGGTGTCCATGGCATAGTTGGGGTTAAGCCACTTAGCCATGGAGGCAAGTGAATGCGCAACAAGGGATCTCTAACCTTCAAACCGTTTGAGGGAGAATACTCTATGATATGATTAAGAATATCTGGCCAGAGTATGAATGAGATTTAGAAAGTCGTTCCAAATCACATTCAAGGTAATCATATAAGTAAGAGAATCACATTAGATAGTAGAAATGAATAAATTATCAAACCAAACAATGTGGTCAAAAGTATTATATTAGACAAAGACCGTATTGCATTGTAATCCTAAACTGAATAGGTTCGCCACCTTTTCTGACTAGCTTGGGTAGCCATGACATACTGCTAGGTGTCACTTATGGTTTGTGGAATCCCTAAAGGTGAGTAATCACTAAAGGGAGAATTGAAAGTATGTTTCAATTCACAATTGATCGTTAAGAGTAACAATCACCCACTGCCTCGCTAAAAGGAACCTAATGGATCGTACACCGAGTAAGGTAGAGATTGAAGAAACAACGAAGATGAGTAAGGTAATTAAATGGTTTAATTATTTATGGCTAGGATTAATTAATATGTTAATTAATCAAACGAATATGTTCGTTATAAACCTCGGGTTAGTTTTGGGCCGCAAGGTCCAATGAGATTTGAATGTCAAGCCCATTAACTCAAGTTGTATGACAACTTGAAAACACAAAGGGCTTGAAAGCCCAATGAACCCTTAATGGCCAACCATATAGAGAGGGGGTAGTGAACTTGGCTTAATTGCAAGTTTGCCACTCCATTGTGAGGTGGTATATAGGCAACTTTATAGCCATTTCATCCTTAGGGTTTCATTTGGAGAAAAGATAAGAACACAAACTCCATTTTCTCTCTAAGAGGCCAGCCACCCTAGGAAGGTTTTACTAGCATCCAAATCTTCATAGGTCACTCATCTCCTCATCAATGCTCTCCTTGGTGTGGAGACTTATAGGTTCTCTATTTTGTGAACTTGGAGAATCCATTCTACCATCCTCATCCAAGAAATCCATGGAGCTAAGAAGTAAGGAATGAAGGCCCTATCTCTTGGGTGATTAGCCTTTGCTTATGCAAAGAGGAATCAACAAGAGTATAATATTTCTCAACTTACTTTGTTCTTGAGTTGAATATTGGTTCACCATAACTACTAGGCTTTGAATTTCATAGGTAAAGTTTTTCTTTTGAGTGCATACAAGCATGATTCCGCCTATATTTGTTAATTGCATGTTGTAGATGTTGCTCAAATGAGCTTGTTTTCACAAACATTTCCTTCATGGGCTTCTCATCAAAGATGATCCCTAATGAAAAATTCACATTGTATCATCTTTAAATGAACTACACCAGTGATTTGATTCTCTTTCTCAGAAATTTGTAGGTGCCCTATCAAAGTCATCATTCTCTTATGAATAAGAATTTTTATGTTTGATGATGAACGACTTTCATTTTGTTTGTTCGTTCTTTTCTTTTTGTGGTAGTGGAAGACCCAAAATTCAAAATAACACACATCGTTCTTAACCCCAACTATGTTGTGGACACCCTTTGACGGAGTGACTTTGACATAGTTAAAGATCAATGACCTAACCATAAGACAACTATGATGCCTTAGGTCAAATGACTATTTTGCATTATCCCAACCATGAGTTCTCATGTGACATGAGTATGAGAACTCCTTGTTGATTGCGTTCAGTGGACTCATTCTCTATTGAGCACCTACATGCTTGTCTTGGTGTTAGTCACACTAATGACTTGAAACCAGTCACTCTCTGTAAGAGAAAACATAGTGTGTACTGATCTTAAAAGACTGTCAATGCTCAATTGGCAACCCTATGATCAGGAACGTTTATGATATGTATACGAAAGAGAATGGTCTCATGAATCTAACTTCTTTAGATCACATTCTCCTAATTACATATTCCTTGGACTTATCGTTTAAGCATATAACATTTATATAAGACACCTTTAAACAATAATTTTTGCCCTTTATATTAAAGTAGATTAGTTTAACATGTGAAATGTCCATGAAGTATCATCATATGATTTGCTTTAGGGCACATTTTCAACAGTTCTTGGAGTTGAGCCAAATTCCGAATCTACACAAAGTAAGAAGGACGATAAAAAAACTAAAGTCATGGAGTAGCTCAACAAAAATTCAAGTAGGCCAGGAATGAAGCAGTTCACTTACCACTAATAAAGACAGTCGAAACACGCAACTAGGGAGAGGAGTTAGCCTCCCACTCTCCATTTACCTCCAAGATATCTCTCGCCCATTCATGATCACCTTTACAGGAAACATCAAGTAGCCTATGGCGAGATCTCAGCTGCCCCAATCCTTCCTTGTGGCCGATTTCAAAGAAGTACCTGAACTCATTTATGGTCAAGCCAATATCAAAGAACCTGCTTAAGTTCGAGAACCCCACCATCGCACGAACTGCATTCGGGGAACACTGAGCAGACGCTTATTTCATGGAGCAGATCACCTTTTGGAAAAGACACGGCATGGGAAAAGTAAATCCCAACACGAAGTAATACATATGGAATTTGATAGCCCTCTTCCTAACAGTGGCACCTTCGCCGCAAGGTTCATGGCCGCTATCGTCTTTCACCCGTTTAACGCAAACCCCTAACAAAATCGCATGCTTATACGTCTCAAGGAAATCCCAAAATAACTCACGAAATTGATCTTGACATGTGCAGCCTTGAAGTAGCCCACTTTGTCGAAAAAACCACCTTGACGGTACAAAGGTGGATGATATTTATCACTTTTGCAATCGGAGGAAGACATTTCAAAATCTCTACAAAAAGTACGAAGAAAAATATTTAGAAGGCAGCTCGCAAGAAAAGAAACAAATGCACACCAAAGATCCCAACGCCGAGCCCCATGGTCCAGGTCGCCCTCACTTTCTCTCATTCAGCATGGGTCTAAATCACAGGAGCCCAACAGCAAGCCAGGCCCCACAGCCCAAACCCAACTATCTTTCTTTCTCGCATAGGATGGCCCAAAGACCCTTGGTCACTCATGCATGCGACCCACGCCACTCAGCTTAGCAGGAGAGGAGGCCCGTGCCTCCTTCCTCTCTTCTCATTCGTGCTCCAGCAAGGCCCAGGCCTCTCGGCCCAAACCACCAGGACTTGAGAGCCGACCTAAGCTGGTCTCTCCTACTCTTTCTCCTCTCACCTGCACAGGCCCGTGCCCAGTAGCCATGGAGGCTCAGCCTAAGCTGGCTTCTTCGCGTTCAGTGCACCTGTCACCTCGGCTCAAGCTGAGTCGAGCACCTGGCCCAAGCCAGCCGAACTCCGTCGCCGCACCATCGCAACACAGCAACCTCGTGCCATCCACGTCACTCACGCCTCCCCGACCCTCGCTGAGCCAATTTTTCAAGTCCCAAGACTCCCAACAAATCAAGAATAAGAAAATTCAATTTTTTCCTACCTTGGTGCGGCACAGACAAGAAGAACAACAACGAGAGAAGACTCATTGCAAGGGCAAGAGAAGAAGAAAGCTAAGGGATGGGGAAACATTTTTCCTCTGGTTTCTCTTTTCCTTGTTGGAATGATGATTGTTCTCCAAATTTATTTAATCCCCTACTTAAGGCATAATTAAATAAGTATTGGGAGCAATTGGTTTCCTTTTCCTAGAAGAAGTCTATCTTCAAATCAAGGAAGGAGATCAAGTTCAAATTGGGAAACAATTCTACAAGCTCATGCAGCTTGGGATTTCTACACCTACTGCCCTTTTCCTACGTGGAGCCCAGCAGGTGTGGGGGCATTTGTGGAGCCTAAAATAATTCCAAAAATTCTAAAGGTGACACGTGGACTTTTGCTTAAGAAAGACAAGATTGCCCTAAAAAAATGAGCAGGCTCCTCAGATACTCCCACGCGCAGCTCACACCCTTGAAAGTCCCAACTACTGAATACGATTGTTTACAGCTCACCTGCCCTTGGCAAGGAAAAGTCAAATCATTAAAGATAAGGATTAGTTACCCAAATCTTATCTTTAATACATTCCCAATTGAATATTGACTTCATTCAAGTAAGTAACCCCTATTTAATTCAATTAGGGATAATTACTTAATTATCTCAATATATTATTTCCTATTTAATATCTTGATAATATTTCTCCATAAAACCTTGACCAATAGGATGTCGCCATGTGTAGGGTAAAACCCTAACACTATGGTTGGCCCTCTACCCCTATATATACCCCATATTCTACCAAATTTCAAGAGCTTTTGCTACCCTAAACACTTTACTCTTCTCAGAGAAACTGACTTAGCATCGGAAATCCATTGGCCTAACCCCCCCCCCAAAACCTCGTGGGCGCGTGAGGCTTAGGTCCTTGATCAAAGATGTTGATTGTTTTGTAGGTGCATTTTCGTCAAAGTTAGAGACGGTGGAAATTTGCATCGATAATAATAATATATATTTTTTTCTTGTTAATAAAGAGAGTTCTATTAATAGATATAAATATAGATTAGACAACATAAATTTGATAGAAACAAAATTAAAAATGTGGGAAATGGGAACAATGTGACCTAACCGAGCTCAACTCAACTCACTAACATCAACCCCCAGTGTGAACAGCCTTATCCCGCACCCCATAAACTGTTATATTTCCTAACAGTACATCTCAACGCAATTAGCACCAGCAAAGCTGTTACTCTCATCTCCCCGAATGTTTCCCGCTGAAGGTCCGACTTGTAAACCCATAACATCCAGGTTGATTAGATGTAGTTTAGATTTCCTGCTGAGGGGCTCCGATGGACCCGCCTGCCATTCTTACTCCCATTCTTCTTTCGAGGTTTTTCTTTATCGCCTGACCCGCATACGACGGAGCACTCTATTCCACATATGTTACTAAAACAAGAGAACAACCCATTGCTCCCTTCGCTGTGTCGCCGTGTATGGCGCATTTCGCTGGATTTAAAGCTAAAAAATTCTCCCCTCTCGTACACTGGTGGGAGCTCCGTTAGCCACCGTTCCAACTTCGATTGCAACCCTTCCACACTGTCGTCCTCGTTCCACGCGCCCACCACCACTGAGCTTTCGTTGTCCTGGTCCACTCGCTCCTTCGCGATCGCCGCAGCCACCTCCGACGGCGATGGCCCCAGCTCTGACTCTGTTATAAACGGCACGGGCATGAGGTTCGACTTCCTTGGTGTCGCATACGTGTCGTAGGGCGACTGCAGCCTCTGCAACGATGACTTGCCAGCTGGCAGAGCCGACTTCCGTGCGGGGGTGGCACCGTAATTGTCCACTAGATGGAATTTCGGGGAGGGCTTGTGACTGCCGCGCATCTTTCTCGTTGGTTCTTTTGCTTCGTTGGCACTGAGGATAGAGCTGACCGGTTTCTCATTGTTACTGCTATCATTCTTCGGTGGGTCCTGCGCACTGACATCAGAGGCGCTGAGTATAGAGCTTGGCTTTCCTTTTTTGTCTTTCCAGCTCTTTGGTGGGCCCACATTCGTGGCGCTGAGCATGGAGCTCGCCTTCCCTTTTCGGTAGCTAACGTCTGACGCACTAACTATAGAACTTGCTTTTCCCTTTTTGCCCTTCCTATAAATTATATCTGATGCGCCGCCAACCAAGGAGCTCGCTTTGGAACCGCGACCCTTCTTCTTTTTTCTCGTGCTGATGTCTGACGAGTTAACCATCGAACTCGCTTTTCCCTTTTTACCCTTGTGCTTGAATTCTTTGTCTCTTAGCTCCGACCCTAACATGGAACTAGAGTCACTCTTGGTGCGCCGTAGCTGAGGCTTCGAATTGGTCGTCATTTGGCTTCTGGTATGGTGGGTCTTGGTGCTGCGTGTTGCGTCATCCTCGCCCATTAAAGTTTTATATCCAACGGCTGAGGTGCTGAGTTGGGAATACAACGGCATGCTACGCATGGAGCTGTGAAGCAACGCCACGCCGATGTTTAGAATCCCTTGCGGCCGGCCCGAGGGACGACGCACCTGGAGTGCCACAAAACGCATGCCCACTTGAGGGTGGTGGTGGTAGGGTCGCGTCGAGGTTTGGATGAGGTTCCCAACCAGCACACGGACAGTTCCTACGTGAACGTCCTTAAACCAATGTAGGACGTAGATCTCGATCATGACAGCGGATGTGTCGTCATGCAAGAAGTCCTCATCAACCCGGAACACGAACTTGTCGTTCCATGTAGGATTGTTGTGGCCTGAGGTGTCCACTCGGGTTGAGAGTTTACGATCAGGATGTACCCATGCAATGGCGTAAGTGCGCATGGACCGTGATATAGGTGCAAGGTCCTGCGCCGATATCACGTTGAGTTCCAAAAGTTGGAATGGGGCTAAGATCGATTGTGACATGGTCGCGATTGAACGAAATTATTCAAATCGCAGCCAAATCTTTTAAAAAGAAAATTTAATATATAGAAGCTAAGCTTAGAGTCTAGAATTTAGGTATTTTCTATTGTATTTTGTTGTGGCAATTGATAAGAAATCAAAGAGACAGACGTTGTGTTGTTGAGAAAGTGGTGATGCTGATGGAGAGGACAGAGATAGCTCCGCTCGTCGTCCGAAAAGAGGCAGACGGACGACGAGAGGCGAGGGGAGCCATCTAAGGAGAAGGAAAATATGTTTGGAAAAAAAGAGGGATAGGGAGAGAGAAAGAGGGCAGCTGCAAGGTGGAATTGTGTAAAAACAGCATTAAACAAGGAGGGTCCGTTATTTGGGAAAGACAAATGACGACGATGAATGTTTATAGAGAGTTTGACCCCACGCGTTTTGTTATTGAAAAGGTTTAATTTTGGAGGGGAGGTGGAAGTTGTTAATTTTTGTTTGGTTACATGTATGTACACTCCCTAATCCAAATTTAGACTCTAATTAAGTGTGGCATTTTATGGTCCCTTGAATCATGTGTGATCGTCTTCAGCTAACAGTAATTTGGTTTTGTTTTTTTTCATTTTTTTTTGTTTTTGGTTAAAAGCTAACAGTAATTTTTACCAGCATAACCTTAAGTCTATTAACTAAAGCTATATTTGGATAGAGAATCACACTGCGATTCTGATGCTTTGACTTTAGCTGGCAGAGAAAGCAAAGAGTAGCGATGATGAATGCAAGCATAATTCACATTAATTTAGTACGCATAATTTGTTACTGTTTAAACAGCTTTCGCGATGATAATTCGTTTGTCGCCTCAAAGATAGGGGAACGAAGTCTATCGTCGCGCCAAAGTAAAGGGTATGACAATTTGTCGTTGAGTTTATGGCGATGACAACTAGTCGTTAGGTAAGCCTCTGCACGATGAATACTTTCGTCGAGTAAACAATGATGCAACAAAATTTGTCTCATAATATTTTATTTTAGAGTAATTTTAATATTTTTGAATTATGAAATTTCCGTCGTTCAAGATGTTGCACGAAGATAGCCTTCCTTGCTTTTAATCTTATGCAACAAAGATCTTTCATTGCCGAAACATAATATTTATTCTTCTTTCTTATAATTGTTTTACTAAATGACATATTTTAATTATTTTTTTGTGTAATTATTTTAATTAAATTAAAATAATTAATAATTAATAAACATATATATGAAAATGTACGTACAAGCCAAATTTTTTTTAATGATATATGAATATATATAAATAAAAAATAAAAATACAAACTATAAAAGAAGGTTGTCAAGGTCAGCTAGGTCGGACTGCTGGATATCTGCTGGGTGGAGCGGCTGGGAGCTCAAAGATGGCTGAGGAGCAATTGGTGGCATCGGGAATTCGAAAGCCAAAGAACTGAAGGGCGTGTAAGATCTGACTCATCTTATCACCCAGGTCGCAAGCTGAGCATCTTGGGCCGTAAGCTTCTGATCCAAGTCCTCAACTTCCTACATCAAAGTGGTGACATGTTTCGTGCTATCTCTGGAATAAGAGGCAGTAGTGTCACGATGTGGCGCATCCCCTATCTTTTGGTAAATCTTATCAAACCTATAATCGAGGGTCTTATCCAGGGTCTTAGTCAAGATCTGAAGACCCGCATATTCATATTTAATTAAAATTTATACTTTTAATGAATGTAAAATATAACAGTTACATAAATTTACATCGAGCTGCTCAATGGTCTCATCGTCGGGTCAAACATAAACATCCTTGAACATGCCGATTTCTGAAAACTTAACCGTCCTGAAACAAAAAAAAAAAAGTTAAGAAAAATGTTAGTAATCCTAATAGAAATTAATATTTATTAGAATTTAAAATTAGTATACTTTTACCTTACGTCGCTGCTCAAACCTATAGAAGGACCTCGAACCAGACGGATGGAGAAGTTTTTTTTTTGACCGGTTGATCTTGTTTACGTTTGCTCTCTTTTGTTAAACACAAAATGTACGTATTAATGCGTCTATTTAAAAGTAAATATTAAAAATATAAAAACATGACTAAAAAATTGTAAATTAATATTAAAATATAAAAATTAATAAACTATTATTAAAATATTCCGGCCTACCAAAAATTAATAAATTACTAAAATGAGATTTTTGCACTCCAAACTTTCTATAATTAGAAAGAAAAATACACTTGTAAGGAATGTAGAATGAGATTTTTGAATTGCCAATAACAGTTCTCATTTTGTATACGACATTGAAGAACTTTCTGGGAATCAAAATTTAAAATGTTGAATCCACAACATTTAGCGGTGAGATGCTCTTAAGAACATCATTCAACGAAGTCCTTGATGAAGTCATGCATGGCGTCCATCGGTTGACATCCACTAAAAAGTAGCAGTATGCATGAGAACTTCTGCATATAAAACAAAGGTATTTGTATAGTCTCACGTAGTTTTCTGTCAATGAGCACATAATAAGCCCAATATGAACCAGTATGCACATAAGGACATAAGTTTTGCTAGTAGTTTATCGTGACTTTAAATTAAAACAATAGTCATAGAAGCAAAACCTTGCAGGTTTATATCAGAACATTTTATAGGGCACGAAGTTTACAGACCAACTTTTAGGGCACGGAGATAGAAAGTCGTCTCTTATCTATATAAACCGTGAAGAGTCTACCATTTCAGTATACCTTCTCTTGAATTCATTTACTCCATCAAATCCCTAGTTGCTTCCCTTACTAGCTTACCATGGAGTACTACTGCAAGTGCATGTGTTTTGCCTTGATCTTCATGTTGGGAGCCTTGTCTTCTCACGCCACTTCTCGCACTCTTCAAGATCCATCAATGTATGGGAAATACGAGCAATGGATGGCTCATTATGGACGTGTCTATACCAACATTAACGAGAAGGAGAAGCGTTTCAATATATTCAAAGCAAATGTGGATTTTATAGAATCTTCCAACAACGATGCAAATAAACCATACAAATTGAAGGTCAATCAATTTGCAGACCTTACAAATGAAGAATTCAAAGCATCTAGAAATAGATTCATGGGGCATGAATGTTCCACAAAGACGACTTCTTTCAAATATGAAAATGTTACAGCACCAGCTACTGTAGATTGGAGAAAGAAAGGAGCTGTAACACCCATCAAGGACCAAGGCCAATGTGGTAATCAATTTTATTTAGAAACAAATTTGGAACTTGGTCAGATAGTTTCTTATGTTCTAACTAGGATTGAATTGCAAATTAAAACTCTATGTCTGTATCTAACCATTATTTAATTCATCCAGCAAAAACAACAAAATACTTAATTTCAATGAAATACTTGCAGGATGTTGCTGGGCTTTTTCAGCTGTGGCAGCTATGGAAGGGATTACTAAGCTTACAACTGGTAAATTGATATCTTTGTCTGAGCAGGAGCTAGTTGATTGTGACACAAGCGGTGTGGACCAAGGTTGTGAGGGTGGTCTAATGGATGATGCATTTCAGTTCATCACTCAAAACCATGGGCTTAGTACCGAAACTAATTACCCTTACACGGGTGTTGATGGTACTTGCAACACCAAGAAGGAGGCCAGTCATGCAGCCACGATAACTGGCCACGAAGATGTGCCTGCAAACAGTGAAGCTGCCCTTTTGAAGGCTGTTGCTAATCAACCAATTTCTGTTGCCATTGATGCTGGTGGTTCCGACTTTCAATTCTATTCAAGTGGTGTCTTTACAGGAACTTGTGGAACAAGTCTTGATCACGGGGTTACCGCAGTTGGTTTTGGAGTAAGTGCTGATGGGACCAAGTATTGGTTGGTGAAGAACTCATGGGGCGCAGAATGGGGTGAAGAAGGGTACATAAGAATGCAAAGAGATGTTGAGGCAAAGGAAGGTCTTTGTGGCATTGCTATGGAAGCCTCGTACCCCACTGCATAATATGAATTACCATCAAAATCCATACCTACAATGTATAATATTAATACCTCCAGGGTATATATATCATGATATGTACATGATCAACTTGTACGTTTAGTACAATATGCTATATATCTGTATCAAAACTATTAGTATTATAAATTAATTACCAAATGAACAACTTATCCTGATCCTTTTCGTTAAACAAGAAGACAATGGATCTGCAACATAACCCAACTAATACAAAGCCCCAACAAACACACCAAAAGCCCAGACATAACATTTTTATACCATGTTTCAAGTGAAGAGTTTTGCTGACCTGCACATTTGTTTTTTCCGCTTGTCAACAATTAATAGATTTAACCTTTTACACGTGAACAAAATAATGTAAAAGGACCCTTAAATAAGGAATGAGGTATTTTGTTCGAATCCTTGGAACTTTGTCCAAATTCCCACCCCAGTGAAGATTTATGAAGGAAGAAATAAGTGCTCATGTTTGGCGTTTTGCTTAGGAAACCGTGGAAGTACACGTGGCACAGCTTGCTGTCTTTTTGAGCAAAGAAATTTTCTTTTTATCAGTAACACAAATAGTATATCTCGTGTTGTTATAATTGGTGGGAAATTTTTTGTTTTATATTATTAATTTTTTTTAATACAAAAATCTTATTGCTTATATAACATGTGGCGTGCCACATCGTGTTTCAAACACATTGAAAAATCTCTCCTCCCAAACCAATAAACAAAAGCTTACAGTAAAATATTAGTTTATGGCCCACCTTAAGTTTATCTCACCTGTCCACATCCTTCAATGACAAATTCAACTTGTTATACCAGAAAAAAAAGAAAACAAAGGGAAAACAATATCTGCGACTGCAATAGATACTTAAACCCCACCCCAATCACCCTCTCCCTCTCATTTCATCAAGGAAGTTTTGCAGACAGCAAAATTGGAGGGAGATACAGAGACAGGTATGCCTTTGAAACTACTTTTTAAATACAAGATATAGTGGATGAATAAATTGATTTAAACGACTATTATTTGATTCAATGACTTAATTAGAACTCAAGGCCCATAACCCAGAAATAAATTTACCAGAAAAGATAAGGGTAGGCGGATTTGTTCACAAGCTTCCCCAAATTTCTGGTGAATTTCATGTTTTCGATTCGTTTGGAGACATCCAATTTTACGATCTGCATTCATGGAATCACGTGCATCTTGTTGCATGTTGGGTTTTGGTATTAGGGATGTGATTTTCATGGTGCGGACTCGTGTTAAGTTATGGTTTTTGGATCGAATAAGTACACAAGAACCAAGAGACATTTTTAAACAAGGGTGTGCACAAGGAGAAACATCACATCTTCTTCTTTCTTTCTTTGGATGAACAAGAAATGAAGGTATACAAATTATCGAATACTGCATAAACAAATGGGGAGTCACAATTTCAGATGCATATGATACGATTTCTTTCTTTGGTTAGAGCAGTGTACTCTCTCGTGTACTCACGATCGAATCCTTCTCCCCGGTTTTTAGATTAGTTAATTAGAGTGTTGCTCGAATAAAGAAAAGACTACATGTTCCCTTGGTTATTAGCAAAGGCGACTGAACATGATCTGGTACTTAAATGAATGGCTCTGATTAATTTCAATATTTGTTTCAATTTACAGGTCAGAGGCCCAGAAATTGTAAACCTCAAACTAGTAAAAGAATACTAGTTCTATAAAGCTTGTTGAAATGCACCTCAGAAGCTCATCAACCCCAGTCACTGAAACATCTTTTTCATGCAACTCTTCTTCTCCAGAATTTAATCAAGAATCCGAAAGTTTAAGCTTGGAAGGCATCCGGCGAGTTCTGTCTGATGGAAACTTAGAAGGAGGGCTAGTCTTTAGTTTTTGTGACATGGAAGAGTTTAGGAATTCAGTTGCACCATTAAAGTCTTCATATACACATGATCACAACTCAATGCTGGAAACAGCTCCTTCTTTTAATATATTTAACAAAGCAAGTGAGTTTCGTGATGAAATGATTCAGAGGCAAGATTTGAAACAAGAACCACTAGAGAGGAGTATTACAATAGGAGATAGCTTAGACGTGGCAGGGCTTGGAGGCTTCAGCTTTGAGAAGAAGATGCGATGGATTGAAGAGAAGGGTGAAGAGGAGGTGAAAGTGGAAGGTTTGAAGGCGATCCGAACTTTGCGCGTTGACGAAGAAGTAGGAAGACCTGCCAGTCCTCCCATGTATCTTGCAACAGGGCTTGGGGTTGGTGGTGCTGGTTTTGGTTGTGATGCTTGGGATAATGATTTATCTATGGAAAATGTCGACGAGAACGGCAACCCGGAAGAGTATTATAAGCGGATGGTTGATGAATATCCCTGCCACCCTTTGTTCCTTAGGAAGTATGGTCAAGCTTTAGAGGTAAAGATTTCTTTGTTCAAAGATGTCTTCTTTTTGTTATTATTTTCTTCTTTCTTCGCCCCTTCTTGGTTGTGCTTAAATTTGTGATTAGGGCTCTATTTAGAATTAAGAAATGGTAGAACTGAGAGATATATCCAATTTTCCATTCTCGATTGTGCTATATACTGATGTTATGTTTCTGATCCACTGATCAAAGCAATCCCAACAAATTTTGGGTCTTTTTCCAATTACAGTGTCAATAGCTAAATATGTGTGTTCAAATCTGTGTACGATTGTGGTTGTCGCAGGCAACGTCTAAGCCTTTGTTTATGTTTACAGAACAAAGCTTGATTTCTAATTCTTGTGCAATGTGCTGAACCCTTTCATGGCAGGCTAAGGGAGATTTTGATGGAGCTGAAGAGTTCTATTTTCGTGCTACACTAGCAAATCCTTCGGATGGTGAGGCTTTATGTCAGTATGCTGAGCTGGTTTGGCAACTCCGTCATGACCAAGATAAAGCCTTGAGTTACTTTGAACGTGCAGCTCAAGCTAGTCCTCACGACAGGTATCGTTTTCTTGATTACAACAACAACAACGTCGGCTGTATGAATCCTAGAACGCCATTGCGCTCAGTTCTATGCCACGTCTTCCGTTAGATCCAAGTACTCTAAGTCTTTTCTTAGAGTCTTTTCCAAAGTCATCCTAGATCTTCCTCTACCCCTTCGGCCCCGAACCTATGTCCTGTAATCGCATCTTCTAACCGGAGCGTCAGTAGGCCTTCGTTTCACATGTCCAAACCACTGGAACTGATTTTCTCTCATCTTTCCTTCAATTTCAGTTACTCCTTTACCTCGGATATCCTCATTCCTAATCTTATCCTTTCTTGTGTGCCCACACATCCAGCGAAGCATTCTCATCTCTATACACCCATTTTATGTATGTGTTGATGCTTCACTGCCCAACATTCCGTGCCATAAAGCATTGTTGGCCTTATTGCCGTCCTATAAAAATTTCCCTTGAGCTTCAGTGGCATACGACGGTCACACAAAACGCCGGATGCACTCTTCCACTTCATCCGTCCAGCTTGCATTCTATGGTTGAGGTCTGCATCCAACTCTCCGTTCTTTTGCAAGATAGATCCTAGGTAGCGAAAGCAGTCACTCTTTGGTACTTCTTGATCTCCAATTCTCATCTCTAACTCATTTGAACCTCCGTTTGCACTGAACTTGCACTCCATATACTCTGTCTTTGATCGACTTAGGCGAAGATCTTTAGATTCCAACACTTCTCTCCAAAGGTTAAGCTTCGCATTTACTTTTTCCTGAGTTCCATCTATCAACACTATATCATTTGCAAAAAGCATACACCAAGAAATATCATCTTGAATATGTCCTGTTAACTCATTCATTACCAATGCAAAAATGTAAGGACTTAAAGATGAGCCTTAGTGTAACCCTACAATTATGGGGAAGCTTTCGGTTTGTCCTTCATGAGTTCTTACGGCAGTCCTTGCTCCATCATACATATCCTTTACAGCTTGGATATATGCTACTCGTACTTCTTTCTTCTCTAAAGTCCCAAAGAATATCTCTTAGGACCCTACAGTTATGGGGAAGCTTTCGGTTTGTCTCTTGGGACTTAAAGATGAGTCTTGATTAAATCCTTCTCCAAAGAAAAACAGAAATCTACTTTCACACCAAAAAATCTGGATTTATACTTTGAATTGGTTGGGTTTTGTACAAATTCGAGAACAGTTCATCGAAGTGATGCAAAGTAAAAACATCATGATCAGATTGCAATTTAGCACAACTGAAAGGTAATAATTTGTTTCTGGATTGCAGCAATGTTCTTGCAGCATATGCTAGTTTTCTTTGGGAAATAGAGGATGACTCGGAAGACAATGAAGCATGTCGTGATGAGATTGAGGTGCTTTATTGGTCTTTTATTTTCTGGTTGAAGATATGATGGCATTTGAGAATGCTTACATTACTGTAAATGATATAATGCCCCGTGGAACAGATGCAGGATGTCATGGGCGATAGTGTGCCTGATACGGCAGCGGCTGGCTCAAGGAGTGACGACCCCGAGGAGAATTACAAGATGATGATTGAAGAGAACCCTGACAATGCTTTGTTGCTAAGAAATTATGCTCAGTTCTTGTGGCAGGTGAGAAACGTTCATTCTGCTCTCTATCATTCGGCTTTTTTATACAACCTCTACTTACCAAAAATATGAAGCTACTGCAGATATGCTTTCCCTATCATTATCGATTTATTTCATATTTTGTTTTGTGATTGATCGTTTGGACATGATCTCATTGCTTTCTTTCATACTTGTCTGACATTATCGTGACTGGTTACAGTCCAAAGGAGATCTTCAAGGAGCAGAGGAGCACTATTTGCGGGCAATACTAACTGATCTTGGGGACGGTGAGATCATGGCACAATATGCTACACTGGTATGGGAACTTCATCATGACAGTAAGAAGGCACTGTCGTACTTTGAGCGAGCTGTTCAAGCTAATCCTGAAGATAGGTACATATTTTTACCTGATCTCAGAGATTCTAATGAATGATCTTGCAGAAACGTCTTCTGCAAATGTATAGTAATATAATTGGCAGAGAATAGGTTCTTGAATATGTTCGGTCTCCCGATCCTCTAGATCGCCATTTAGATTGGATTTGTCTCAAAATATTTTTTGATTGCCAGTAAATCTCTAATCATATACAAGATAATATAGCTTGCGTGATCGGATTAAATGACCTTTTAACATTTTGTTCCATCTTTTTTAGCTATATTCTTGCGGCCTACGCTAATTTCCTCTGGGAACATGAAGAAGATGAGGAGGACAGCGTAACGCAAGCTCATGTCCAAGTGCCTCCTGTACAAGGAGGAGCATTGAGCGTTGGAAACGCCTGAATTGCTAACACAGATTGCTGGATTGGTGAATAAGTTCTAATGCTGTACGTAGATGCATTTCACTTTCAGAACAGTTGAGTGAACATTTTATGGTGAAATTGTGCTTTTTGTAACCATAAAAATAAAAAATCGAAGTAATTTTTGGAATAAAGTTTCAATTTCGTTCAGAATCTATATATCAATTCGCGTAACAGAAGCTAACATTACATACAACCAAGGTATTAAATATCGATGATATCAGAAATGTCAGTAGTCCAAAAACACGGAAATTTCGATGGAAATATTGGGATATTATCGATATCGATAAAAATTGAATAAAAATCACGGAAATTATAAGAAAAACTTGAAAATTTTTATTGAAACTTTGCAGAATGTTTATTTAGTCAATTATCTATTAGTTTATCACAAAAAAATGGAAGAAAATGCATTGCATGATAGATTTAACTGATTTAAATTGATTATATAGCAAACTGGTAAACATTGTGAGTGTAGAAAATATGTAGTAATTAATGAAAGAAGTTTAAACACACCATAATCATTTATATGTAATGAATTAGTACAATATAAGAAAGACATGAAAAATATGTTATTTTTTTTACAAAAAAATAGTATATGTGACGTTAGAGTTTCAAGTATATTGCATGATCTGATCTTCAAAGAGACTTTCAAGGTCTTAAAGATGGATTTCCCAAATAAAACAATTTAATTTAAAAAAATAAAATAATAAATATAAGATATTTTGAATGAAATTAGTGTTTAACATTTTCTTTAAACCACATGGTGACCCCTCCACCACACCTCCCTCACATAACCCAAGGTCCCAAATTGAGACTCCCAATCCTATATTTGACATTTTCTTTTTCGATCTTGTTCCTCCTCTCTCACTTCTTCTTCCTCTACTTTATTTTCTTCTTTTTCGTATCCCATAAGTCTCTCTCTCTCTCTCTCTCTCTTATTTCCTAATTCCTATCAACCCGTGAAACACAATCCGAGAAAATCTCTCTCTCTCTCTCTCTCTAGAAACCTTTAGCAAAGCAACTCCTAATTCCTATCAGCACGTGAAACACAATCCCAGAAATCTTTCTCCCTCTCTCTCTCTCTCTCTCTCTCTCTCTCTCTCTCTCTCTCTCTCTCTCTCTCTCTCTCCAGAGACCTCTAGCAAAGTAACCATGGCTATCTCTCTGCAACTCTCCTTCCCGAAGCATAGACACACCACACCCACACCCTGCCGTGACCTCCATCACAGTGGCGCACACTCCGGCGAGCACCATCACCACCTGTGGACCGTTCCTCCTCCCTTTATCACCTCCCGGCGAGCACCATCAAGCAAGGGGATCCATCAAACGGTTTGATTCAAACCCGAGCGGGTTTTGGGATCCGAAGAAAATGGATTTTTCATTTTCGATGATGGAGGTGCAGATCTTGGGTCTGAGCCTGGATTGCAGAGAGAGATCTAGGCAGCTGCGACGACGCAGCCTCGGCTACCTTTTCAACGACGGAGCCACGACGATTGTTTCGATAATATCGAATATATCGCGATATTATCGATATTATTGATAATATCACGATATTTTGACGACAATTAGGAGGATACGTAGGAAAATATCGGTCTCTCTGAAAAACGATAATATCGACGATATTTCGCCGATATTATTGATATTTTAGTCATTGCATACAACTAATAAGAAGGCATCAACACCCACATAACGACTAACTAATAGTTGCTGGTCTCGACTGGCGCTCCGCCGTGTGTGACTCTATTCGCGTGCAAGTGGCACCTTACTGCGTTTTGTTATCATTAGGTAAGGAAACAGAATCCTTACTTAGGACCCAAGTACTGTCCAAGTTTGAATTCCCGTCCCGTTGATAAAGAAAATAAAAGGCAAAATTAGAGAAAAATATATCAACCAAATGAATTTTAATTAACTGCATCAATAAGAGAGACCATGGAGGATTTTCCAAAGAAAATATGGGGTCAAAATTGCAAAACCTATTAAATTTATGAAATCCAATGCCAAGCAACTCCTACTCAGAAAAATATGATGGACATGCCCAATACATCTAAAGCTAAACCGACAGCAAGGAATACCAGTAGTTTTTGCAACCAATTAGAGTTATATCTGCTGACCCAAAAATTTCCTTCTCTCGCTGTAGAATAATCTTAATTAGTGAACTCCGATGAATTTTGTCCGCTTCTTGATGATTGATAACCCGAGTTCCCTCTGTCTTGTCGAGGGCTTGGCCTATAGTAGCCATTTCCCCTTGGTCGGCTGTAGTCCTGGTCACCTCCGTCATAGCCACCTCCCCTCCCAAAACTCCGAGAACCAAAACGACCCCTCGGTGCCTCTGCTTGGTAGCTGCCACTTCCTCTTCCCCTTCCTGTTCAGACAACAATGCAATAGCAATAAGATTACATTAAGAGCATATCTTAATGTGAAGCTTGGAGCGTAAGAGCTTGTTATGCCAGAACAATTTGATCAGAAACGACGCTCAAATATCTCATAAAGGTATCACACTAAGCAGTCAAAATTGACAAGGGTTTAACAACGAATTGTATCAGAGTTTCTTTCGCCAGATAACTAGCACAGGAAAGTGGATGACACTAACAAAGTTGCTAATTGCCAATTATTAAATACAGCAGCCATAGATGGTGAAATGAGACCATTATGAAGTCATTAAAAATTGCCACACAATATAATGATGTCACCATATCACATCCATGGCCATAAGAAACAGGATTAGGCAATCATCGGAATACATGTTGCAGTATTTTCAATGCAATCGTCCAGATAGTAAGCGAGAACAGATGACAGAATTTTAATAAGATATATAAGAAACATACTTCCCACTCGAGACGGGATCTTGCTGTTTGGTCTCCGTTCTTCAATGTATACCTGTCGTCCAGCAATTTGAACACTACCAGCCTACGTAAAATAAAAAGAAAAAATCAATAAAAGACTCGGGAACCGGACTTGTGGGAGGAAAGTAACTAAAAAGTTTGCCTCCATCTCCAACATTAAATTCAATTGGTACTGAAAGGAAACTTTGGTAGAATCTTCTATTAAAATTCAAATTTCGCAAATAGCACTCATTTAGTAATGGTTTCATGAGTGGACCTTGACGGCATTCTGAACACCGGTAATATCTTCAAATTCAACAAACGCATAGCAAACACCAACATCCTGCACAACAATGGAATATTTTAGCTTAATAATTTCAAGGCATTTTGGCCAAAATAGTCCCTGAGATTGGCATAACTCCACACTTTGGTCCCTGAGATTTGAAATCGAAAGAAGTGGTCCCTAAGTTTGTCCACCGTCAATCATTTTGGTCATTCTGTGAAAAATCTCTGTTAAATAAGGACTAGAATGATAAAAATACCCTCAATTTAATAAACAATGGGCAGGGCAAAATGATTTGACAAAAATTGAGGGTATTTTTGTCATTTTATCCTTATTTAACAGATATTTTTTACGGACTGACCAAAATGATTGACGGTGGACAAACTCAGGAGACAACTCTATTGATTTTAAATATCAGGAACCAAAGTGAGAAGTTATGCCAATCTCAGGGACCATTTTGGCTAAAAAGCCTAAAAACTGGTATAAATGATACATCTGGAGAGGAACTTAAGGGAATAAAAGAATGCAAAAATCTAAGAGCATGAACCTTGCGACTCCTAATGACCACTCCTTCAGGCTGCTTGAGTTTTCCAAAATTGACAAATTCCTCCTCCACTTCAGATGGGGACACAGTAGTCGGCAAGTTTCTTACATAAACAGACTTTATTTCACCTAAAAGCATTCATAGAAGACAAAAAGAAATAAAAAGATCAATTAAATAAAACTGTTGAAGTACATATTAAACTGCCGATATGTTGATTTATTAGACTGGACAAGAGAGCGAAACTAAGAAAAAAAATTTAACTAGACGATAATTTTTTACAACTGAAAATTGTAAGCAACAATTCTCAAATAACTCATTAAAATAAGCCCAGATGTTCACCTTCATCTTCTAGGGCGGCAACCTCATCTGCTGTCTCTGCTACTGGCCTTTCAAATGTATTAGATGATGAAATGGATTGATGAGCAGTGGACTGAGGATAGTGATTCCAGTCTGAAGCCATTGGTGCACTCTTATTAGATGAACGCTGGGGAGCTACAGAAGGCACAGGTTGCCCCTTGGCAACGCGTAACTACCAAAAAAATCAAGCAGACAAGATTGGTCACACATAATGAGCATAACCTTCCATACATATATATGTATGTGTTTAGGTGAAAAAAAAAAATTAGTTACAGATTCAGTGCATACTATAGAAGCATAGGTCTGCTTTTGAGGCTCTCCAATAGATTCCTCAACAGATGCATGCAGGTGATCTTGTATGGTATTCGGCATGCTTTGAAGTGCACCATTTGATTGCTCTACAGCACCATCATCCAACAAGTTCTCAGTTTCAACAACTTGCTGCAACTGTTGCTCTGCAAAGCCATAACTTTCAACTGGACCATTTTCTTTGACAGCAGGAGCGACAAAGTCTCTTGTCTGAATCTCTCCACCCACATAATAGTTAGCCACTGCAAAATCACCAGTTCCAACAGCTAATTACTAAAAAAGATGGTTCTTTTATACGTTGAAATGAAACTTATAATACCACCCAATCAAAACAAATTACTAAAATTTTCAGAAAGGTATTTTCAACTCCAAGAATTTTAAAAGAACTTTTTTTTTTGAAATGGCACTGAAGGATGAGCCATAATCATGCATAAATATGGTTTCAGATGAAGTAAACATTGCCATTCAACCAGCACACTTTCTATTGCTAATTATAGAATTGGTTTTGTTGTCCTACATAAAATTCTTTGTTTTCAAATACCAAACTCTTGTACACAAATGCAAAAAATAAAAAATAAAAAATCAACAAACTCCACATCACTTTTCTAGTAATAGCCACATGCTTTCTCCAAAATTAGCAGATTTTATAATGCCTACTGACAAAGGAATCCTTCAAATCAACGTAAATCATGAAGAATTAAAATACCTGGCTGCGAAATTGTAGCAGGAGCACTTAGCTTGGCGTCAAGATTGTTTTGGGCTAATAAGACTGCTGGATGATGATGAATCGGTTCCTCATCAACGAAGTGAAATATATCGTTCAGCACAAAATAACCTCTCTCCT